TAGTTGAAGTATACCTATGATGAAAATTACAGGCCTCTCTCATCTTTTTAAGTGGGAGAACTTGCACAATTGGTGGCTGACTAAATACTTTTTTGCCCCACTGTATGCATTTTGACCTACTGATTTGTTGGAACCTGGCTTCAGCACAGCTTAAAAGTAGAATGTGGCCACTGGACAAAGAACGGTTGCGTGTCCCTACTGTATTGTGTCTGTTGTCTTGATCATGTGCTCCCAGAAGAGCCCAGAGGATGCTGGGAAACCCAGTATCAGTAGTTCCATGGCAAGGGAAGATGCAGCAGCAGGTCAGAGCATTAGCAAGTGCGCATCCAAGACAAGGGTTCTTACACTTTGCAGTGCCATGACCCCCTAAAATAATAAACATATTTGTGTGATCCCTTGATTTCATAGAGGATGGGGTGAGGCAAGAAATAAATATACCATCTTTAATAACTAAAATTGAATCCAAGTATCAGGTAAAACAATGATAGAACCTCGCAACTTTATAAAATAAAACCTTTTGTTTGGAAATAAACTGTCACATTTAAAGCCACCTTTTTAATCAGAAGGATGAGCTTGCTAGCTTCACATAGTTCCTGAAATATTTGTTTTTCAGCAAATCGCTCCTGCTTCCTGTTCTCTGCTGCTATTTGCTCTTTATAACAATGTGTATAAAAAAATATGGACTTCACTAATGATTTGTCCAGGCAGCACAGGAGCTAATTTTGGTGGCAACTCAGCTTTGGATGTGCATGCCATGAGGCTTCTGAATCTGGAGCTGGAGCCCTATCAGAATTTGTTCCTGTTCTGCCTGGACAAGCAAATGGAAAGGAAAGCCCACAGCACACCCTTACAGTGATCCAGTTTTGGGTGTGTAAGCCATCAGGGTTGGCCCTTCAATTATGTCATTGCTCAAGCATTCAGTCCTTGAGTCTGCAACTCTCTGACCCTCCTTGCCCTGACTTTATTTATACTTCTGATACGGATCCAGTTGCCATTCTTATTCATACAGTCAGGAATGCTGATGAGTGTATAGAGAGCATTCAGGTAGACAAACCAACACAGAGTAATGACTATAATATTCTGGCTGTCCCTAGAAGGCTATGAACATAGCTACAGAAGCCTTGTTCTAGCCTTATATCTGTGGCTGGTGGAGGGAGAGGTTGCAAATAACACGCTAGAGCAGTGTTTTTCAACCTTGGCAGCTTTCAGAAGCATGGACTTCAATTCCCAGAATTCCCAGCCAGCAAGTCCATGCTTCTGAAAGCTGTCAAGGTTGAGAAACACTGCGCTAGAGGCGAGGAAACGTGGATTGGCCTTTGGATATTGGGTTAATTGGATATAGCTGGATTCTGTCAAACCACAACCTTGCTCTGTTTGACAAATGTTTGTCCAGACACAGGAGGAGCAAGTTCTGGCAGCAATCTTTGCTTGCTCAAGTCCCACAAAAGTGTGTCCCCCCACCCACCAGTGTCATGACCCAGAGTTTGAGAACTACCTCAACTTGCCGCACTTCTCTTCATCAACACAAAGCATTCTTCTTTCTTCCTTTGGCCACTTCCTAAAACCCAGGTGGGCTGGCCTGTTTGGGAAGACTTATTCCTGCTGTCCTGAATGAAAATCCAGGCCTTTGTGGGAAGAGGGAGGGAATGGAGCCTGACCCCTGCAGTACCCAGAGTTACCAAGGGTTGAGGAAAGATTGAGGCTGAATATTGTTATTCCTTGCTCTTAGGAGTCTTGTCTGTGTGCAGGGGAGAATTCGCAGATAACTTGTGAATTCCCAGATTTTCTTGTAGGCTTATTTCTCTCTTTTCTGCTCTTGTTCTCCCTTCTCATCCCATCCCACAGGCAATATCTGCCTCGGAATCCCTGTCCAACTCCTCCATACCACCACCAGATGCCTCCTCCACACTCCGATACTGTGGAATTCTACCAGCGCCTCTCCACAGAGACTCTTTTCTTCATCTTCTACTATCTGGAGGTAACAAACAGCCCCTGCCTCCATCCCCTTTGGTCGTTTAAGAGGAATCGTACTGCCTCTCTTCTATTGTCCACACTGGGTCATTCACGAGGACTACCTTGCTCGTGCGGTAATCAGTTCATCTCTGCCCTTGACTGTAAATCCCACAGCCCTGATCTGCTTTTCCTCTTTCACTTCAAAGGGTACGAAGGCACAATACCTGGCAGCAAAGGCACTGAAGAAGCAATCGTGGCGCTTCCATACGAAGTATATGATGTGGTTTCAGCGGCACGAAGAACCTAAGACCATCACTGATGAGTTTGAGCAGGTGAGAGTGAAGATAACTGAAGAATGGCACGTTGATATAGTTTTACCTATGTTTTGAAAGGCTGATGGTCCATTCGTCATAGGAAGAATGCAACAGCGCATGTATGTGTCCATTTTGAGCACAGAGCTTCACACAAGCATCTTGTATGTGAAACAGGCTGTTTTGAGGACTTTGAAAGGACTTTAAGCAGTTCTGAGGTCAAGGCACAGTCAGTCAATTTTCTTTTGATCAATAATAAATTACATGAAAACAATTAAAAAGGGGGAAACAACAGTTTCAGACTTACATCAGCTATTGCCTTGTATTCATGACAGCCATGCAAGATTTAGCTACCATACAGGTAATAGGGGTCTTTGTTTTTTATCTGAAATAGAAGGAGGTTCAAACAATTCTTTCTGGGTATTGACATAGCAGGGGTAGGACATAACTATTCCAAATATCCCTGTAGAGCTCAAGGCACTGTTTAAGGTCATAATCATGTTTTCTGCACTTGAAACAGTTGTTTTGTACTCAAAAAGATTAAAAATGAAATGCTTCCCATACCTCTTGTGAGCAGAATAGGGAACATGGTTGGGCATTGCAAGAGTGAGAAAAAAAGTTACCCAAATCAGGGTTCTGTTTGGAAAACTCTGGTGGCTTCTGCAGATACATTTTCAGCTAATTAACTGTACTTCCATTAGATTTAAAGGTTGCTTTTGTATATTATAATAAGCGTAGGCTGTGCAAGTTCCACTGTGACTCCATGTATACATTTATGAATGAGTTGGTCCCACTTTTTTCTCTGCTGTAGTCATCTATGTGGATGAATGCTGGTAAATGCAGTAAATTACTCATGTGGTAGCTCTGTTTCACATTTCTGCACCTTAAAAAAGACAAGTTGGTGGTTCTTCTGAGGCTGATGCCATCTGTCACAGAAAACGTGACCATGCCACTTCCTCATCACCCAAAACAGAAACGGGATGCTATTGATTCCTCCATACCTTATGTGTCTGATGTACAAATGCCTCACTCCTTTTCCCTCACACAGTGGAAGGCATTAAGGAACCTCTTCCTCATAAATTGCCAGGGCTGTAGACTTCAAGTAGTCTGTGGGACTCTTACGAGAGAAGGAATGGAACCACTTAAAGCCACAGGAGTCCTACAGGGAAGGTATCATCTAGGCAACAAAGTCCAGGATTCCTTGCTTTCCAACATTAGAAAGCATGTGGACATAAGTACAAGCTAACATATTCATTCAAGCAAGAGGTAACTAATCCTGTTGTGTTTTCCTGTTTCTGCCCAGGGCACTTACATCTACTTTGACTATGAGAAATGGGGCCAGCGTAAAAAGGAGGGTTTTACTTTTGAATACCGCTACCTGGAAGACCGGGACCTGCAGTGATGCCACGGGGCCAGCAGGGGGTGCCAAGTTTTCCTTCCAGAGACAGCTGTGGCGGAGTGCTGGGGGCAGCGGCAAAGGAAGACCCACCTACCCCTCACCTCTCTTCATCTTCCCCCCATATCACAACTGGGGTGGGAGGGGGCAAGCCGCACGTTTAAAAAAAATGCATGCAAGTTTTAAAAATGACCGCAGGACGGAGGAGGAGGGGCAGCGGCAGTGGCAGGCTTCTCCTCTGCCTTTTCCTTGCTCTCTTCTGCCTGTGAAGAGGTCAGAAACAGGGGGAAATGCCCTTCACGCGCACCAGCTTTGGGTGCAAGAATGGAGATTAAAAAAAAAAAAGAATTTGAGAATCCCACCAAAAGAGTGACTTCCCCCATCTCCATTTTTTTTTGTGTGTTCTAAATAAGAGCATTTCAGCCCCATACTTATTGCAGCAAACACAAACACCCCACTGCCTTTTGCCATCCCTTCCCAAACTTCTTGGTGCAGACTTCATCCCCTGTTTGGCAATCGTCAGATGCCTAAGTATGACCCTGGCAATATCAGGTCCCATAAACCTTATGGTGACCTTTCTCCGATCCCTTGTCCACTTGCCACTGCTGGAAATGGCAAATTGGCAAATGATAGGATTACAAATTTGGAGGCATCAACCTCAGGTTGCAAAGGCTCCCTGTGACAACAGAAATTCTGGTGGATTGGCCCCTATCAGTCTTGGCTGCCATAATTTTGACTTGCTTTTTTGCAAGTTCTAAGGAGACATGTGAAGGCCATCTACAGTCGTCATACCCTTGGTCCTCCTCATATGGAAGAGTTCCTTTCCTGACTGGAACGATGACTTTAGGGATTCTACCTTCTGCCCCACCCCCAATGCTGCTTCTCCTTTCGTACCTTCCAAAATATTGCCACCATAAATTTGATATGAGCTTGTATCTAATCTGCTGCTCCTCCCACAGGAAGACACCCCCCCCCCATGACTTGCAATTTATTCCTAATTGGAAAGGGAGAGATTTGGGGAAACTTTGGGGGGAGGTGGGACTGATCTCTCTTCTCAACCAGCCCCCTGAACTGGAGCATCCTGCCCACGCCGCTGTTAAGATATTTTTTCGTAAGCCTATTTTCATTTTGGAAAATATTTATGAATAAATAGTTTTATATGAGTGTTCTTCTTCTGTTGTACAGGAAAGGGAGACAAAACCACCAAACCCGGGGGTGGGACAAAGGAATCCATAACCCTTTGGGGTAAGAACTGCAAGTCAGAATGAAGCATAATATATACAGGCCATGCCTCAAGGCTACCTAGAACATACTCCTCCAGTGCTACCCTTCTGAGCCTATTTCAAGGCTGAAAGCCACATTCATGTACAAGATGTATACATGCAGGGGTAGTAATGTTACCTTTCTCTATAAAGCAAGAAACTTTATTTTTACAAATATGGTTAGAAGTAGATTTCCTTGTGTTTTCAAAGGGCTCGTTGGAGCAAGGCCAGTTGCTAGTTTCTGACAGTTTCTTATACTCCAAAATAATACAGCTTATGGCTGACCAGGACATCATCAGAATGAGAATATATTAAAAAGAATGTTTATTTGGATAATGCAGAAGCAGCCAGATTCCCAGCAACATCTGAAGCAACTCATTCCCACTTATTTCACAATCATCTGGAAGAATCCTGCAGTAACCTGCAAACTAAATCATGACTGTGTACATAGTGTGCTAAGCGTTAAGTCATGACTTACAAACCAATCTTAATGTCTCTCAATGGAATAAACAAAGCAAAACCACACGGTTGTTTTGGAGGTGTCCTTGTAAGATCTGGTCTTTCGCACAGTCCTAAAAGATGGGCAATCCACGCAACCTTGTTTTTACATAACTTAGCAAATTAGCACATGATATCGTTTCCTACGCCACTGGGCCTGCATTAACATGATGTACTGTAGTCTTACACAGTCTAGATAATATAATATTGTAACAATTGTCTCTGCCCTTATTACAAGGAGAAAGCAGGCCAAAATCCTCCTCATGCTCATTTCTCTAGTGGTAGATCACATGCAAGGATGGAGCACTGAATTATAACAGCAAGGAGACTAGCAATACTAATTTTGTCAAGTAACTAAATGGACCGTGAACAAGTAATGAAGAATGACCCCCTCACCACCTCCAAGATCTTCCACCCCAACATTCATTCTTGAGGAACTTTTCTCAGGCGTATCCCAGGTTTATACGAAAAATACCTTTTGTGAACGCTTTTGACAACTAGTACCTTGGTCCATCCCTTGGCACAGGTGTACATGGCACTGCATCAATTCTCTCCATGCTTCATGAGAAGGATTTGTGCTGCTACTACTGAAGGGTCCATGGAAATGAAGTTCAGAATTGTCCATGTGGGGCCCTAGAGAAGCTGCAAGTTTTATTTTCCTTCAGGAAGGCTATAAAGAATAAGGCAGGTAAGTTACTGGAGCAGGTTAACAGGCAGGAAATAGTATCCTTTATCAACCCAAATTTGTGCAATTTTTCTTTTTGGCAATCCAAGGCAAAGAGCAAAAACAGATTTGCTTGGCTGATTTCCCAACTTTGGCTCAAAGTTGTGTTCTGAGAAATGATAGTTGTAACTGAGTAAAAGTTGTCCTAGAAGCCATATGACAAGTCATTTTCAGCCTGATTTTGCAGGCCAGGAATTCCATAAAGTACTTTGCACTGAACAATACTATTTTGCTTGGTTAACAGCTGAAGAAAATTGGGTTTGACTAACCAGATTTCACACTTTCTCTACACCCACTCAATTCTGCTGTCTTTCACTACTCTCTTTCTTGCCAGCTGGGGGTTGAACTGTGAGTTGTAGCCACGTTTCCTTTCATCCATTTCCTCTTCTTCCTCCCTGACTGGACGCATTCCAGATTTCTGGGCAAGAAGAGATTCTGTACGAGCTCGTTCTGCCTGTTCACGGTGCAACCTTTCCTGGCGCAGCTGTTCTAGAGACCGTGACGTAGAAGAAGATGGAGGCCTGTAAAGGAAATGGGAAACCAAGAGGAAAGAGAGTGAAAAGACATGGAACCCAAGAAAGTTCATCAGTCCTTGCCTTTTTACTTGAAGGGAGGTGGAGATACGGTTTGCCTAAATTCTGTCTCCTCGATGATCAGGACCTTTGTGCTCTCTAGATTTGCAATGAATTTTAGGGAAGGCATTATAGCTCAGTAGTATAGGTCTGGTTTTGTATTCCAAAGGGCCCAGCTAAATATATATACTAGCGGGTAATATTGGCATACATAGAATCAGAACTACTATGTAATGCATTCTCACTAACTGCAGAATCAGAGTGGCTATTCATTTAATCAGCTTGACTCCAACATGGTTGATGTTGTCACGTGCCTTCAGCACATGCCCTGTGATTCTACAGCAGCTACACATAGCCGGCTTTACATAAGACAAGCAAAAGATGCAGCCCAGTTTGCCTTATGAGGCCGGTGTGTTAGTGATGGTAGCTTGACATCCACATACAAAATCTGATCTAATCCTCAAATATCAGTAGGCTCCCCACTCTCTATTCTGCTTTCCAGAGCGGTGACTGTGTTGTCTCTTCCAACAACAGCAGCAAAAAAAAAAACTCAGATTCCCTAAAGATTAACGCTAGTTTGCTTCTTGCAGCATGCAACTACAGGTTGATATTCTATCTACATCAAGTAAGGGCTTCAGTTTAGTGTCCACTCAGTTTTTCCCTGCCTCTTCCCCAGAAGTCAGGGCTGTCTGGCAAAGACCTAGCAGTTGACTCTGGATGCTCTGAAAAAACAAGTCGGGTCAATACTTCATCACAGTCACTGAACAGCGATTTGCTGTTCTATGTTGACACTTAGCGCTCCTGAGAGTGCGCAACAAAGAGGATGCCCACCTAGCTGCCAGGTTTCCTTTGCTTTCTTTTTGCCTCCACTTTCCTTTTTCTTTATTTTCTTCCTTTTTATGAGAGCATTTCTTCTTATGTAAGTATTTTCCCATCACAGCCAGGGGGTCCAACTTCCCCTTAAGCTTCTCATCCTTGGCAACGGTTTTACTACGATCCGGCAGCTCCTGGTACCAGGGACAACTTGTCTGAGACTGTGCTGCACTTTGGCCCAGGTAAGTGAGGATACCCATAGCTTTTTCCTTTCGCTCCTGTGAGGAATAAAAGCCCAAGGAAATTATTCATGCTATATATTTATATATATACACACACGGGCGCTCCAGGTATATAATTCTATCCAAAGAAGTATTTCCCTATTTTTCCTCTCTAAAGCAAACTGCTTACAGTGGTTTCAGTGGACTCCCTGGAATCCAATGCAGAATATCACTAACAAATTATAATCTTCTCCTAACAGATTTCACTGAAAAATTGGAAACCACCTCCTTTACAATAGGATAGTTAGCTAACAGTAACCAATATGCATTGTGCTTACTCTGTTTAAGGTACAAGCTCCTGATTATTTAGAATACAAAAGTTAGCCTGAAGTTGTCTAGATTGTCAGGGAGGAAAAATGCATTCAGTGTAAAAAAAAAAACACGGCTAAACTAGGATTTCATCTATCAACAGACAGATTCATTTATAATAATATATTTAAAAGGTCCGTACCTGAATATTAATGCTACTGTCTGTGCTTTGTTCTCAGAAGCATAAACAGGAGTCTGCCTGTCTCAAAGGCTTTCAGTGCCCATGTATATAGACTAGAGAAAACAAACTTTTGGAAAGCTCCAATCCGACTTCCCACCATTACCTTCTCCTGCCTCTTCTCCTCCTCATATTCTTTGTTGCCACTCTCTTGCAACCCCTGAAAGAGGTTAAGATGTTCTGAGGGTTTTTCTGAACCCAAAGAAACAAGGTCTGAGCCGCTCTCATCACCTCCTGGAGCTGACAGACGTGCTTTCTTCCGTAAGAATTCAGTCCGGGCCTAGAATCAAAGGCAGAGATTTGTCCAAGGCTTGTACTTAGGTCAATACCTCTATTTGCCCAAGGCAAAGTCCTGAATAGCGTGGAAGCCTCTGAGTGTTGCAAGTTAAGATCAAGCAAGGTGGTAATCAAAACAAACTAAAGATGTCCGAGCCACAGAATCTACATTTAATTACTGTGTTTAAATGGAATGAGGATGAGGCAGCTGCCATTCAAATTAGGCTGTGCCAGGTCTCCTTAGGTGATAGGACTAATACAATCAAGAAGCACACAAACAATGGCAGAACCCTGGTTTTGAAAATGTATCTTGTTCCTGTCCTGTCATATATTCTTTATGTGTCAACAACTGCCTTTCTAACTTTTCAATCTCTCACATCAGTCTTAACTATTTAATTTACTGCAAGCTAATTGACTTCCTGTTATAGTAAGGATAAATTTATTCAATTCTGGATATACAGACTGTGTCAGAAAAAGAGAGAGCAAAGAAGAAATATTAAAAGAATGATGAGATATAGGTGGGGGAGAAGTCCAAAAAAAAGGCTCATTAGTAAAACATATAGAGCTTTACATCTCATTCACTGCTTCCCTCCATATTAGTTTAAGCTTCAGCATAAAGGAAGCAACAATGGGATCTTTGAACATTTAGAGGAATAACAGAAATAGTCTTATGACACTTTATCAGTTTTCATCTATCTTGCATTGATTTAACAGCAGCAGCAGCAATCCTGCTTTCGGTCAAATCCCAGATGAGTAGAATCAGTTTTGCCAAAGAATTTTAATTCCTCAGTTTTAAACTAGAGCCTTTCAGACTGGTTATTCTTAAATCAGGCTTTCTTCAGATTTCATCCATTCAGGCCGCAGGCACAGAAGAATCCCAGATACTGCATGCTGTTTCACATTCATAATTAGCCACCAGTTATAACCGAGGATATAACTTCTGCCCTTCATAAAGCTCTAAAGAGCCGGTTCTGGGTTCAAGCCGGAGCTCCGAGTGTGTGGAGTGACTCGTCTCCTGCCTAGGTGGATCACTGTTGGTTTTCTCAGCTGCTGTGTATTTTAATTTGTGTGTGTGTGTGTGATTTATTTTTATCACTGTCCACCACTCAGTCGTTGCCGAGATGGGCAGCTATAGAAATTGATTAAATAAAATTAATAACTTCCCCACAGAAATGTAAAGAAATCCCTTTCTTGCAGTATGTAATCCAAAGATACTGTGGGGCTTAAGTCTTTTTCTGATGTGACCGTTTACTCAAATGCGTTATTTTTCTTAACTGAGGATGCTTCTGTATTGAACTCCATTGTTGTCAAAACCTCACTGCATGCCACCTTGTTCAGGTTTTCTCTAAAAGTCTGGATAAAATTCAGGTTTGGTATGGTTTCTTTATTAATGCGTGCAGAGAGACGGATACAAGATCATTCTGTATGCAGAATGCACAAGGAGATAGAATCCAGCTACGCTTAGATCCCATGTACAGCTTTAACACAGCAACTCTTTCTGAACAGTAACCAAATAGGGGTTAAGTTCCTGGAAATCATTTTGTCCTCACCTCCACACTAGGGAGCTAGTCCTGTCCACTTGGAAGCATTTGGCTTCTGTGGATCTGGTTCAACGCACATACTAAAAAAATAAAGAAATTCGATATTCATTTCCCTCCCCCACAATTGAGACATTTCCACCAGCGAAAAACGGATGAGCACAAGCAGAGAGCCCGCATGCGCAGTAGGGAGCGTTTTGCGGCCACTGCTTGGAAGAGCGTACGCGCAATGGTTCCACACACAGGGTCTCTTTCGCGCATGCGCCCTCATGACTACTTACCTCCTGTTCAGCCAGCAGGACTCGGGCCTCCCTCTTTCGCCGCTGAGCTTCAGCCTCCGCTTCGTCCCGTCGCACGCGAGCCACATTGTCCTTGTTCCGGACGTGCCACGACTTCTTGGGAAGAATATTCATCCCCGCAGTTTATGACAGTGCTAAGAACGCCACAAATGTCCTCCGTTTCCGGAATCGTCTCTTCGCCGGGTGCCATCCAGCTCCGCCCCTTTACTCTATTTGGGGGCGTTGCCGTTGCCTCCGTACGTACTTCATTGCATCCACCCACGTTCGCCTGCACGAGCTCAGGCGGCCTGTTCATCCGGTGTTCTCATTGGCCGTGTTTATTCCTTCCGGCTATTTGATTGGTTTGGGCCAGTGTTCGTCAAACTTGGCCACTTTAAGATGTGTGGACTTCAACTCCCAGAATTCCGTAGCCAGAATGCTGAGAATTGAAGTCCGCCTATTTTAAAGTGGCCACGTTTGAAAAAAACACTGATTTGAACTGACGGTACCTCGAGTAGGGAATGATGTTTGTTGAATGCTGAAAAATCTCTCCGTGGTTGCATTTAAGTGAAACTCAGTGTGGCGTTTGCTTTTTAAAACATGCTTTAGCATTTCTCCCCATGTGCTAGGTTGGGGTGCCGCTTGCAGCCCTGTGTGGAGCGAGGGACGTTGGCATCAGTACAGTAACTCTTCACTGCACAGTTGGACTACTGCAGTGTTGTCCAAACTTGGCCACTTTAAGACGAGTGGACTTCAACTCCCAGAATTCCCCAGCCAGCATG